ATTGCCAGGAAAAAAAAAAAAACTTTCAGGGCTATGTAAAATTATTTTTAATAAATTATTTTAATTAACAAATATAAACACTTGATTAATTTCAGAGAAAAGCTGAGTACATAAAGAAGACAACTCAAATCCTAAAAGATAAGTACAACTCGGACATTCCACCAACATTAAAGGAACTCATAAGTCTTCCTGGTATTGGACCCAAAATGGCTCACATCATCATGGATGTTGCTTGGAATAAGGTAACAGGCATTGGCGTTGATACCCATGTTCATCGTATTACAAACAGATTGAATTGGGTTAAAAAACCGACAAAGACTCCGGAAGGGACGCGAATTGGCCTAGAAGAATGGTTGCCAAGGTGAGAACTTAGAATTATAAAAAAGGCCGTTGATCGTCCTTTTTAAAGAAAAATGTTGGTAGGTTGTTTTTTTTTGAATGAGTAATGAAACCACCCCATTCAAATTCTCCGTGGAATGTAAGCCCTCATGTAAATGGTGGCCAACTTCAACGATTTTCCAATGTAGTGTTTGATTAAGTGGAATTTATACGAACAAAACAAAATGATATTTCGTAAGTTTTTGTAATAATACAAAAAAAAAGTTGGTCGGGTGATTTTTCTTATGTACTTTAGGGAGGGGACGATCAACAATTTATTTTTTTTTTCATGGCCTAATGTATTTAACTTCTGAATAGATACACTGTCTGCTAAAAAATTAATATTGAAAAAGGCAATAACAAAAATTTAGTTTATTAAGTGATTAACTTCCAACCAGAAACAATTGAAAAAAGGTAGTTTTAACTGTTTTATATTACAGAGGTTTTTCTACAAAATTCCTCAAATTGATTACAAGCCAATTTAAGGGTCTGCCAAAAAATAATGGCAAACGTATTATTTAACTGTCTTTTAATTGACAGACATTTTTTTTTACATTCATATTTTTAATTAAAAGTATAAAAATTAATCAATTTAAATATTGAATTAATTTTTCAATCTTTTATCCAGCTCATGACAGACAGTGTCATTTTTAAAATGTATCGATATAAACATTGAATAACTTTTCAAATGTCAAAAGAGGATTTAAAATTACAGGTCGTCTCTAATTAAAGATCCCTCCAATTTAAGACCACCTCCAATTAAACATCACTTTTTTGTGTCCTAGCAGTGGTGGATCCAGGGGGGGTTCAGGAGGTTCGGACAAACCCCCCTCTGTGAAGAAACGTAACAAAATATTACTGGGTCCTGGCTTACAATATTCATGCTAACTAGACGCGGATTCAGACATTCGCCCACTTCGCCCAGGCGAGGTCAGGGTGACACATTTGTGTTTATGGTATTTTAAGTTCTGTCTCTAGGTTCGATCGGGTGCATTTTTACCAATTCTACCTAGGGCCCGGCAGTTATGCCGTATCGACGCACGGTAGCTAACGGTTTGCAGGATCCGGATCCTGCTAACCGTTAGCTGCCGTGTGAGAACATAGCCTATATCTCTTAAGCTCTGTCCACACTATCAAATTTGACAAAAAAAAACCTGTTGTATGCCCAAATATAGTCATCATATGCCTATATATGGTCATGATGTGATGTCATCATGACCATATTTAGGCATGTCACATGTTTTTGTCAAATAAAATTTAATAGTCTGGACAGGTCTTCGGTATTCAAACGTCCTATTTTTTGGTAGCCAGAAAAATGTTTGCTGCCCTCTATCATTGAACACAGTTATGAAAACTTCTAATACTGTAAAGCCGCAATTGCACTGGACTTAAAATGGGGAAAATTTTACCGAGACCATGGGTGCTGGGTAATATTCCAATGAGTAAATTTTATCGCTGTCAGCACTCGTGTTTTTCAGTCGGTCAGTTTTACTGCAAAAAGTGGTAAAACTAACTGAGCCATGAAAATGAACTATTGAGGCTGTTCATCTGTGATATCTCCGTTAAATAATGCTTGATTTGAAGTTGATCCGAAACATGTGTTTGCATTCGGCTTTTCGGCTCTGTAAAACTAACATGTTCAGTTTTACTGGGCACAATCCACTTGGTTCAACTAACAGCTTGTCTTGGAAAGTTTTCCTGAGAGTTAATTTTCCTGGGCTGTTTGCATTGGTTTAGGTAGGGTAAAACTAACCAACGTCTTGGCTAGTTTTTCTAAAAGAAAAAAGTCCAGTGTGTTTGCGGCTTACTAATTTACATTATAAGTCAATCGTGACGTCATCACTGTAACTCCCAATGTTATTTGCCTATTCCCCAGCGTCCACTAATTTTTCTATTAGTGGACGCTTGGCTTGATTATTTTTAGGTTCGTGTGCAAAAAAAAATTCCTCATTTTTTCGTCACCGCGAATACATCGTGCACCGCGATAAAACTGAATAGTAATTGAAAATTACTTTCGTAAAACAAGCTTAATTAGGACACGAAGAAAGTTACTTCAAATTCAATATTAAGTATGGACAATTAAGGAATTCATTGAATCAATGGACCCTCATAAACATAACAAACTGAGCGTTCAGCAGGAATATTCTAGACCTATTTTAAAGACTCAAGAAACAAATTTAGATGTAGGTCTACGGCCAGGCAGGAGGCCGCCCGGGCCTCCTACTAGTACTACTGCTAGGCCGTAGCCTAGCCTAGTTATGAAATCATTGCACGATTTTACCTGTCTACATGCACCGACCAAAAAGGACGTATTCTCTCTCGAATGCTGAAATGTTTATTTCTTTGACGAAAGTCTATCAAAATAGCATTACAAACAAGTTCTTTCTAACACAATAGTTATTCATTGTATCCGACTGTACTGCTGATGTGTAGTTAAATAAACGCGTACTGTAGGAGCAAGATCAGCATACGCACAGCTAAATGGAAATACGCATACGTATACTGATCATATCACTATAGCAACCGATGACTGCTACAACAGTTGGTTATAAAAAACTAAAATTAAATACGGCTATTGACTTATAAAGCAATTGGTAGAGCATGTATTGTACACTAAATGGAAAATTATTATACTTGGGTTAGATTTAATGCATTCAAAAATTTCCTTCGGGCCTTGCAGGCCCTTAGGAAATTTGTTCAAGCATTAAATCTAACCTTCCTACAATAATTTTCCTATAGTGTACTATGTGGAGCTCTACTAATTGCTTATTATAAATAAACAGTTGTACATTCACTACATTCATATAGTGGACAAAAACAAAATGAGATTGAAAACAGTAAATTTAAGAGCTTTGTCCTCTCATGGGCTCTGCTATCATGCAAATGGTATGTTGTATACACATACCTAACCATCTGTGGTTCAGGTAGGCCCAAGTAATTAATTTATTACATGTCATGAATTACTTACAAAATAGTTCCTCATTGCATGTGTAGTTAGAATTGCTTTCAAAGTTTCCTTGACACACATTGCAGACTACAAAACTCGCTAATGAAAATGAAAAAGAAAGCTAGTGATGTTTTTCTTGTGGTTTATGCAATTGAAATTTTGCAAATGATCTATTGATTAAAATAATGATGTTATATCCCCCCCCCCCCCTAGAATCTTTTGGTAAAACATGTTGCGAAAATTGTTCACACTTCTCTGAAAATCTTTGAAACATAAGTTTGATCTACAAGGTATAAAAAAAAAATGCACAAATGAAAATAATATACGACTCCACAAGTCACCTGAAGCTATAAACATCTATTAATAGAATAACTTGACACTGCCATTTGTAAAATTGTACCAGTAATATTTTGTTGGCTAGTCTGATGTAGACAATTGGGCACCTGATATGTAAAACTCTTTTTTCTTTTGCAGTACTATACAATTTATATAGGTGATTTGTTCAAGTTCTTTGAGTTTTTTTTCTACTGCTCTCCATTAGCTCAACAATATAGTTGTCTCTTTTCATCCAGGAGTACAAGAGGGTGCCTGGTAGGGTCAAACACAAAATGCACTGATTACAGCTGCAACGTTATGGAATTCTCCCCAGGGAGCTGATTATGTGTTCCATTACCTGCTTGATCAAATGACCAGGGGTAATAATGTGAAACGCTTAGAGGCCTTGTTAGCATTAAGCGCTATCTATATAAGTCTAACATGTTATTATTATCAACCAAGAAAATGTCGCCAAAAATAGCAATGTACAAAGAAAACAATGCTAATATTGAAATTTATTGTACAAACTTACCATACTTAATCAAATAACTTTTGAATAAATGCCACCTCCTCAAATAAACTCTCGTTCCAGAGCCTTATTTGGAATAAGTGCCTCCCTCGAATAAACATCCTGAGGCATTTATTTTTTCCTCAAATAAGCGGCTCCTAAATGACTGTAAACAAATCTAATGGAAGCAACCTTTTTATTTCATTTCATTTCATTTATTTGTCTCAAACAATTAAAATGTACATAAACAGAAACGGCAAAGAACAATCACAAAAGTACAAAAACAAGAGACAGGACACTACAAAAGTAAAATCAATCACTGTCGAGTGGAGGCCCTTCACGAGAAAAACACAAATACTTACAATATAAAATTCTTCAAAAAGATAAAAAATCGAAAGCTAAATATTGAAATATAGAAAAATGTGTAAAAATCAATAAATGAGCAAATTTAATTTAAAAGGTATTTTGAGATATAAAAATATTCAGATAAGCATTAAGAATTATCTTAAAATATTCAATGTAAAAAAAGTCAAACAAATCATCAAAAATTTCATTGCACTTAAAATATATAAAACAAGATTAATTACAATATTTATAAAGATCATTCTCAACATATTCTATTAATGTTCTACTCCAGCAGAATTACATTTTTTCAAACCTGGTTGGAATCTAGAAGACTTGATAATGTAATTAGATGTTGTAGTTCCACATTTATAGTGAAATTAAGGGGCATTTATTTGAGTATAATTATGTGTATCCATTTTACACCATAAAAATTAATAAACGCCTCCCTTGAATAAACGCTTCTGAAAAATCCTACTCATCAACATTGGAAACCCCGGGATGTTTATTCGAATAAATACGATATTACCTCAACACTGTATTTTTAATGTTTCAAAATCATAATAAAAATATATCCTGTAGCTATACATGGTTGATGAAAGTTAAAAATAAAATTTGTAACAAATATTTTTTTTTTTTTTACTCAGAGAATTATGGAGTGAAACTAACGTGTTGCTGGTTGGTTTCGGACAGCAAACCTGTCTGCCTGTTGGTCCACGTTGTACAGAGTGCCTCATCAAAAACATCTGCCCCATCGGAAAAAACATCAAGCTGAAGGATTCACCGCCGAAGAAGTCACCGCGCAAGGCTTCCATCAAGAAGGAGAAATGAAAATAGAGACACATTCAGGACCAAAAAAGGTCTTTAAAAAACAGTGGAAAAAATGTTGGTTATCCCCCCTCCCCCTTCTCTTTCCCCAGTTCTATTAAGACTTTATTATTTGCTATTTATTTATTTTATTTATTTCTTCTTTACCCCGGGGACCTGAACAGTGCAAAAAGCATTGTTATCCTCTGGGGCCCAGCTTCTTTGTCTGGTTCATTTTTCGCTTGCGCATTTGATAAGTTTTGAATTGTCGTGGTAAAAATTTTTGATTTATTTATTAGTTTTTAAATATCCACAAATTGGTATCTCATTAACCATTTCCCAGTTTTTCATCAAACATCCATTTTGAGTCATAGAAAAATCCAGGCTCGTAGCCAAGTCGGTTTATGGTTCGGGCAAAGCACCTTTCTCTAGCGAACCCCCTCCTTTCTGGTGAATACCCCCCACCCAAAATATCTCGATAGAGTCCTCCAACCCAACTAATGTACCCAGACTCAAGACAGAAAGTTTTGTTGCAGATCTTTTTCAAACATAACTGCTTTCATAGTATTATATAGACCCATAATACAAAAATCACTCTGTCTTTAGGGACTTTTCATCTTGGGCCCTGGACCTATGTCAGGAGAATCCCCCCCCCCCACTCTTTGGTAGAACCTGGCTACGGGCCTGAAATCAGTTGTACATCATATCAAAACAATTTTTTCTCTGGCCTGACTTTAATAAGAATTGAATATATATTGATTTGTCCATGATTTGGCACATTTGTCCTCGTCCCTTTCATAGGGGTTGGCTGTAGTGTTAAAAGATATTTTTATTGTTTCACGGATAAGTGTCCCCTTAATAAAGGGAGTGTCCACTGAATAGAGGGGAGTCAAATGGGGGTTCTACTCTATTTATAGCTGTAAAAAAAATAGCCAGATTGAGGAGATCACTACATTTATCTGAAGCTCTGTCCAGATATCCAATTTTCTTTGACAAAAAAAAGTTGTATGCCCATATATAGTCATGACGTACCTATATATGGTCATGATATGATGTCATCATGACCATATTTAGCCATGTCACATGTTTTTGTCAAATATACTGTAGTTTGGTAGTGTGCACAGGCCCTTATATCATTGTTTAGACACAAAGTGTTTTTGCAGTTGTTTTTGTTGAGTTTGGTAGCCTAGGTTGAGAGTTGTTAATGTACCTTGAGTGCCTTTGAGCGCGATTGTGTAAAGTGTGATTATTTTATAATACTGTAATTTTTAATTATTGCTTATGATATTAGTTATAAATGATAATTAAGCCCTATTAGTTGTTGTAATTATTATTATTATTATTATTATTATTATTATTATTATTATTATTATTATTATTATTATCATGATTA